CAAGTCAGGAGCCTGTAATTCAGTGGTTGTCGTTTGTTGCTGTATATCATATTTGTTTTTCGTTCATTATTTTGTACATAAATCAGGCCGTTAGTTTTCTCGTTTGAATTGTTTTACATTTGTCATTACGGGGCCTTTTATAGCTGACTATGCGGTATGGGTTTTACTCATTATTGAAGGCCGTACGGTGAACTATAGTTGTTAATTTCTGTGTTATTTAGTCTCTTCTCAGCCAATCATACCACATCTTCTTATTTATATAAAACTACTTAAGTTAAGATTTGTTCCGAACGGACGAATTTTTCTACATGTCCTACGATAGATTAGTACTACGATTGGATATCTTAACTTAAGTGGTTTAATACATACATGTATCAGCCCAAATCTAAAGAAGTTTATTTAAACATAACCCTTGCAAATTTCACGATATTTCGTGTAAAAATATATTGAATAGACAAACCGCAGTGATTACCGTTTTACACATGTATGTTTTTTTTCGCTTGTACAATTTTATAAAAGTATCAATTTTTTGTTTTTGTCCCGAACAGCCTAAAATTATTTAAGTTCAAGATCAAAATTTATACGCGTGACAAAATGTGCGCATTAAATTTGGAAAAGAAGTGAGATGGAATGAATATATTTATGTAAAAACTGACAAATCTTGATTTTTAATAAAAGATATATACTATACGTATATCAGGCCGTTAGTTTGCTCGTATGAATCGATTTTACATTTGTCATTTCGGAGCCTTTTATAACTTGCTATGCGGTATGGGTTTTGCTCATTGTTGAAGGCCGTTCGGTGACCTATAGTTGCTTACTTCTATATCATTTGGACTCTGGTAGAGAGTTGTCTCATTGACAATCATACCACATCTTTTTATTTGTATATAAGTAAGGTATTATAGCTATTTACATGATACTATTTGAATACCAACGTAATTAATAACGCAATTGTCCATTGAGCTTGCGGCAAAATCCCTGAGCAAATTAAACGCAACAAAACCGTCAAAAATAAGTATAAAATTGAATTGTTTGAGATTTATCCAAATTGGGCCCCTTATATTAAAAAATCAGTACATTTTTGTATTCATAATTTAAAGGTCCTTTAAGAGCATATTAATCAACACAATTCATAATATGCGAAATCGGAAAAATATCTGAAAATACGTTATTTGCAGAAACCAATCATGCTGATTATTAAATGATATGAAGGGGAGAAGAGAAATACAGATTATGAAATGATGATGAAGGGGAAAAGAGAAACAGTACAAAGAGGAATTACTCTTGTGATAAATCTAACATTTCTCTCTTATTTTTTCTACAACTCATCTGGAATATTTTATTTACATGCAAACTAAATGATGTATGAAAATCAAATTGTTCGTGTTGACATTCTTTTAGTCTTAGATACATGATTTTTTTCATAAGTGGTTACGTTCACTCTGTGTTTTTGTTAGCTGTATTTCTATTTGTATCCATTTGATGAGTTAAGCCTTTTTCAACTGATTTTTATAGTTTGTTCTTATGTTGTAATGTTGCACAACTGTCCCAGGTTAGGGGGAGAGTTGAGCGCTCACAAACATGTTTAACCCCGCCACATTCTGTATGTGCCTGTCCCAAGTCAGGAGCTTGTAGTTCAGTGGTTGTCGTTGGTTCAGAATAGTTACATATTTTTCATGTCGGAGCCTTTTATAGCCGACCATACGGTATGGGTTTTTCTCATTGTTGAAGGTCGTACGGTTGCCTATAATTGCTTACATCCCCTTCATTTGAACTTTGGTGGATAGTTGTCTCATTGGCAATCATACCACATCTCCTTATTTTTATATCCAGACATACACATTTTCAAAATTAATGTTTCACAGGTTTGGAAACTTGTGAAAACCCTATTCTAAGAATTCATGACTTGGTGAGTTCAAAAAAGGCACCTAAGAACAAAATGTGATTCAATCTCATTTAAGTTATATGAACAGTTTTAACAGAGCCTTAAGTTCACATCTTGACAGCAAATCTAGTTGCCTGAGCTAGCTGGTTTTTTCTCATGATTCCTCGTTACTTTTCTCAATGTATATCCCCGTTTCTTTTCTCAATGTGTCTCCCGTTTCAATTATCAATGTGTCTCCCCTTTTTAATTCTCAATGTATCTCCCTATTTCTAATCTCAATGTGTCTCCCGTTTCTATTATCAATATGTCTTCGGGTTTCTATTCTCAATGTGTTTTTCTGTTTCTATTATCAATGTGTCTTCCCGTTTCTATTCTCAATGTGTCTCACCATTCTCAATCTGTCTCTCCGCTTCTACTCTCAATGTGTCTCTCCGTTTCTATTCTCAATGTGTATCACCGTTTCTATTCTCAATGTGTCTCTCTGATTCTATTTTCAATGTGTCTCTCCGTTTCTATTATCATCGTCTCTCACCGTTTCTATTCTCAATTTGTCTCTCCGTTTCTATTCTCGGTGTGTCTCTCCGTTTCTATTCATACGTGTCTCCCTATTTCTATTCTCAATGTGTCTTTCCGTTTCTTTTCTCAATGTGTCTCACCACTCTTAATGTGTTTCGCCGTTTCTATTCTCAATGTGTCACTCCGTTTCTATTCTCAAGGTGTCTCCCCGTTTCTATTCTCAATTTGTGGTTATCCAATCTGAATTTAGTTCAACTTTTTCGGTTGTTTATAGAGTTTTTGTATTAAACATTGAATTATGCGTCCACGTTCTTGTTTATTTCTAAGGAAGCTACCATTTGATTTGTATGGGGGGCTGGGATAAAAAAATTTTGTCCTGCATTTTTTTATTCACTCTATTCGGTCCTCCCTTTTTTTTTATTAGTTTATCCTGACCTTTTTACATAAATTGTCATCCTGCCTTTTTTTGCCAAGTTGCTCATCCAGCCGTTTTTTTTTCAAAATTTCATCCAAACCCCCCCCCCCCCCCCCCCCTCCTTAAAATCAAATGGTAGCTCCCTAATATTTAAAAGTATAATAGATATACAAATAAGATATGTGGTATGTTTGTTAATGAGACAACTCTCCACAAGAGACAAAATGACACAGAAATTAAACAACTATGGTTCACCGTACGGCCTTCAACAATGAGCGAAATCCATGTATTGATTTGTTATTGTTAGACTTAGGTAGTACATATAAAGCCAGCGATGTCTAGAAATCGAAAGAGAAGGAGAAAAAATCCCTTGACTTTATTTTCACCAAATGTTCAATATTTACTAAAACCCACAGTATCATTTCCTTGAATGTACGATGAGGTTCTAACATTATTATGGCTTATTTCTAAACAGAAGGCTGAAGATAGATCAAAACCACACTTTTAACAAATTATGGCACATTGAGTATTTATACAGTATAAGAAGGACATGCTTAAGCAGAAACAAAATTATGCTGGAAGTTGAGCTATGTTTTGTTGTTTTTAATATCAAATTATAAATAAATTTGGTGTATTTACTGTCTTCTGATTGGTTAAAAGTATTACTTTTATTTTCAATGTTGTCAATTTTTATGGCGACACGCCCACTCTGACGTTGTGTATTCATACGCCAACATGTGTGTACGTTGTTATTGTTAATATAAATAATATATAAAGCTCTTTGAGCATTATTTTTGATTGCAATTTATTTATAATGAATGGCAATAATTTATTTTGAATTTATTGAACCATAAAATTAATTTTTGACTCTTCACATTTTACATAATCCGCTTCGCGGATAATTCAATGTGAAGAGTCAAAAATTAATTTTATGGTTCAATGAATTCAAAATAAATAATAGCCTTTCATCAAATACATTTTAATATCCTTTTGATTGAAGACGTCCTTCAATGAAAGATTTTACAAAAACATGCAAAATTTGAATTTTATATCAAGATGTCTTCAATAGTAACATGTACATGGAGCAAAATAACATTTTGAATTAAAGGGAATATCTAACATTGTTGAAGGAAGTTTAAATTTTATGATAGAAACTTCGATATTTAAATTCCAATAGGTTTTGATAACTTTAAGATTTTTACCATGGGTAAGACAAATACATTGGAAAATTGGCCCTACCTGTTTAATAGAGTAGTGTAAGCCAGTGAGGCCACTTACAGTCTATCATCGGAAAGATTTTCTAAAAATATTTTAATTTAATTAATTGTAAATAAAACTTTTATTATCCGTTAATTTGCTTCTGTTCCCTGGTCATTATTATAACGGATTACATGTAACATCCTCGGCTTTCAAATATTTGGCTTTGAGCGTTCCCGATGGAGGTAAATCCAGAAAAGCGCTTCGGACGCATGAAATTAGTAACGTGTTGTTTTCATTTTTTAAAGTTTAGCATTTTTATAATGGATACGAATGATAAAGTTTTCTTTTATACATATCCCAATTTGATCTTGCGTGATCCATGCTAACGATTAAACCTGATGTAAGATGAGTGTTTGATAATTTTTGTGAGCCATGGCGTTGATTTGCCAATTAGAAATAAATTGTGTTCTCTTCATTCAAGCAGAAATCTACGGAAGCCGTACGTGTCATGGGGAATTTTTTTTTTTCTCAATTCTAACTCTCTAAGTTAATTATAAAAAAATATTTCATTTATTGTTTGGCTTGTGATTATTCTGTGTTCCAGTATCTGTATTGATTGATTTGCGATTATTTCATGCAAATTCAGGACCATTTTAAATGCTTTAAAAGTTGTCAGGCAATGAACAACACGGGCGAAGCTAGGATTTTTTTTAAAGGGGGCAAATCGGTGAAACTGAATACTTCCGATAGGAGAAAGGATAATTTTTTTTTGGGTGATTTTAAGGCTAAAACATATCATATAAATCGTAAGATACGTGGAATTCTAATTTTTCGGCTATCAAAAGAAAAAGTGGGGGAGCATAAACGGTCTGGATTCGCCAATGAACAATGGTCATATGAGAAATATATAGCTTTCATTGCATGGACATTCTTAAGGGTGTTTGCATGACAAAGAGGTGTTCAGGTTAGTCGAGCCATCTACTAGCCCCTGAAATAAATAAGATTCTTCAATAGTTTAGAATAACGTTAGTTTTTATATATGAATATATATTGAATGACGTTTTTCCGTTCAATTTTCAAATCTAGGGCTTATCCCATGGCACTCAACGGTATTTTACCAAAAAAGGCTGTGGCACTCTAATGGTTAATGTCACTATATAAAGATAAAGGAGATGTGGTATGATTTCCAAAGAGACTGCAACTATCAACCAGAGCAAAGAAAGTTAATGTAAGCAACGTTGTCAGTTTGATTGATTGAATGATTGATTGATTGAATGGTATTTAAGGTCGGTGGTTTTCTCCGGGGACTCCGGCTTCCTCCACCAATAAAAACTGACTGCCACGAAATAGCACAATAGTGTTGAAAGTGGCGTTAAACACCAATCAATCAATCATTATACGGCTAACATACGGTCTTCAACAATGTACCAACACGTGTCTTTACCACACCACCGCATGCGCAGTCCATCTGTGGTCACATAAAATAAAACCTTCCAAAAAATCTGCTATTGCCAATAACATTTTGGAAAATACGGGATGATCATTTGGTTTTCAGGGAGGGTGCGATTGGGGAGAGGAGGATTTTGAAAATGAATATCCTGACCCGGTAAGAGATTAAAATGAATAACCTAGCAATAGAAAATGCAGGAACAATTGCGTACAAACGTGAAATAAGATTTCCTGCGGCGAAGCCGAAGAAAAATAATAAGCATGCATAGCAACAGATGGAAATCCGAACCCCCACCCTCCCCCCCCCCCCCCCCCACCACAAATTATGAATGGTCGTCCCCATAGCTATTTAGACGGTTTGATGTAAATGTTGCAATTGCACAAAAACAAAGACTAGAAATCCCCCAAAAAGACTTGAATATTGACAGTTTTTGCTTCTCCGCTAGGTACGCGGCATCTTTGAGTAAGAGAATAAACTGGCTGCTTCATAGTCAGAATAGTGTGTCCGATACCGGTAGGATGGCATGTAACATTTTGTTTGAAGTATTTACGATGTTTTAAACAGGTCTCATTAAAAAGTATCATGCATGGTGCATTGTTTAAACAGGGTCCCAGATATATTCAAATGGACGAAAAAGCTGTGAAAAAAAGGCAGGACAGGAGTTTTGAGTAAAAAAAAAAAAGGCAGGATGAGCAACTTGGTAAAAAAAAAGGCAGGATGACAATTTATGTAAAAAAAGTCAGTATAAACTAATAAAATAAAGGCAGGACCGAATTGAGTGAAAAATAAAAAGGCAGGACAGAGATTACAACTAAAAAAAAAGGCAGGACAAAATGTTTCATCCTAGCCCCCCCTCCCCCCCTCCCCCCCCCCCCCATAAAAATCAAATGGTAGCTCCCTTAGATGTATAGCTATTTATAATTGAAACAAATGTTACGATTGCAGCAAAACAAAGACTTAAAATTCTATATCCTACGTAAATGATCAGATAAACTAAGCAACAAAAAACATTTTGGGAGTGAATAATGATTAATCAATAACATATAATACTAGTGAAGTGGTTTACACTTGACAATAACTTCCGTTCTTCTCTCTTGTCAAAAATATACTGTACAAGTGTCTTATTCATATCTCTCACGTCAAATTTTAATCCGGTTACTAAGTGGCACATGATAATTGTTACTATTACGATAGCTACATGTATACGAATTTTTTTCTAAATCACAAATCCAACTCACGACCAATTCTCCCCCAACCCTCCCCGAATCACAAACCTTACGCTCGAAAACAAAGGAACAGTCTGTGAGACATGTCATCCTACCAGTACTACTTTTCCTGGACAATTTTGTATGTCTTGTTAAGCAATTTGCTCATTGTTCAAGGCCATACGAAGATAGCTGTCCCGTTTACATCATAATTAATCTCCTTATTGTATGTCCATGGTTGATAAACATGATTTGACATCAAAGATTTGTGCTGATGATCTTTAAAATCATGATCTTGATTGTTTGTGTTATGTCCTATGGTTAATACTTCACGCATAGTCAGAACAATAATACATGATCAAAGTGGATGAAAAGATGTTTTTAAACACATCCACGAGACAACAACCGAAAGAAAAAAATGAGGTACAAAAGTGACAATTGTCTACTACATTATTATTTTGAAATTAGAAAAAAAAAATATTTAGTTTCTTATGTTTTTTTTTTTTTTTTCATTGTCATTATTTGTTCCATTCAAATATGATTATGTTGGTATAATATTGTCAAATGAAAAAAAAAGTTTTTAAAACATGTAAAATGTTCCATGTAAATAAGCTTTTCTAGTAGACTCCACGATAACTTGCACACTGTCTATAATTTAATAATCTGCTTTAACAATTCTGGAGTATTATCTCTATCTATCAATCCATACAAACAATGCAAATAGAAAAATAAGAATATGTGGTATGATTGCCAATGAGACAACTCTCCACCAGAGACATAATGACACAGAAGTTAACTATTTATCGGTCACCGTACGGCCTTCACCAATGAGCAAACCCATAAGGCATAGTAAGCAACATGCATCTTTTCACTGGACGGTTTCTCTATTATTAATTACTAGTATTTTATTATCTATTCTGCCGTTTTGATCTTATTTTTGAAATTGATCTTTGATTTCAGCAGTACACTTGTCATTGTGAATGTTATATCGTATTATACAATGATGGTGATCATGATTAATGGCTATTTAACGTCCAGCAGCAAATTAAATGCATATTCAGGACGACTGATTATAAGAACCAACGATCTGAATAGCTCTGGTGACATCCAATCGATTTTAATAACTAATTCAAAACTTTTACTTTAAGAATTTTTATTCATTAATTTTTTATAGATGTTTATGAAATGTTTTCGAAATTTCAAATCAAATGAAATATACAACAAAGAATTAGCAACATTGTTGATTAAGTACAGTCGTAGACCAATAAGATATATTGGATACAACGGCGTAGATGTCAGATTCTCTTCATATGAGGGATTTGCACTGTATACAATCAGAATAATTATATACGGAAGAAAACTAAAAATAAATAATAATGTAATTGTAAATAATACTTTTGTAATCCGCTGCTCACGGTCGCTGATAAAAGTTTTTGTTTTCCGCATGATAGTGCCTCGTTTTGGCAAAGTTTTCATTTCATATGTAGAATTCGGATCAGTGATTTTATTTTCGTCCGGAGTTTGACACTTATCTACCCCTACTCCAATTTGTTGAATGTCTTTGTAACTGTCACACAAGGTTTGGTTAATTTTACCTTCTTCAGAATTGTCACCTTTTCCGTCGATTTTGATATCGAAAGATGCAGTGCTGCTGCACTCAGTATCACCGGTATCGTGTAATGAGGTCTTCACATTTTCGCAAAATGGTTGTATTGTTAGAAAATCATTCTGTGTAAAAGACAACATTTCGATAGTGTTCATTTGTAGTGGGTCTAAAACATTAAAGGTTGACTTCCGGCGAATGCTTGGTTTATTGTCAGTGCTTTTTGTAAGATGAATTGGTGCGGAATGTCTAGCGTTAATTTTAATTTTGTCTCCCTGATTTTGTAACGCCTTGCTGTCAGCAGAACGTATCTGTCGACTCTTTCGTCGGATTTTTAAAGAGCCCAGAACAGAACGTCTTATCGTTGATTTCCGTCTGCGATGTTTCAATCTAATCGTAGATTGAATCTTTATTGTATGTCTTCTCAAATGAAGTCCAACTAATGAGTAAAGTATTACCAACAAAAACATACATACAAGAATAACAAGCAAACCCCATGCATAATAAGCGTATCCTATGACACTACCAGCAACCTCGTCAGACCAGGTGCATTCGGAACCTTTAATCATTTGTCCTGACACTTTGAGGTGCAGTGTTTTAATTCCGTAAACGTACAAGGCGGGCATTGTTGCAATTATTGCAAAAAGAACAACTCCAATTAATGCGTAACGGGCGTGTTTCTCAGACATCTGGTTTCCATATGGTTTACATATTCTTCGGTACCTCTCAGAAGCTATCACAACAAGCATCAAAGCCGTGATCATTGCCAAGCACGTGTTCAAAAATCGAAATATTTTGCAAGTAATTTCCGAGTTAAATATGTACGGGTTCAATTCATCAGCCATTTCAAACGGCATCGACATACAGCAACTTAATATATCTACAGAAGCTAAGGACAACACAAACATTCGGTATGTCGAAGATCCAAACTTCGTAATGTAGATGTAAAAAACGTGTAAATTTCCAAAAACACCAATGATAATCAAAATCAATATGAACATTATAACCGGAAGTCGACGGATTGCTTCCGCTGAGTTTAAAATCTCCAAGTCAATGTTTGTTATGTTCTTGGTGTAACTGGAATTATTCATTGTGAAGAATTAACTATCCGTTCCTAATATTAAATACACATTTGATCGAGTTAATTGGTCTATTTATGTTAACCAAATGTAGATATTTTCATGCTGTCCATTCAATATTGAAGAGTCCTAATTCCTTGAAAAATATCTATTAGATCCTGCTTATAAAACACATGCACAAAAATTTCCTCCTGAACACGTTCTTGTTCTAGAAATATGAATGTTTTAACTGAAGTTCTTCCCTGTAGTTTTTAAGATTTGTTTCTCGAAACGAATAGCTCACTCCCCTTTGTACTAAACATGTGTCTTTGTGGTTACAATAAAGTTTTCCTTGATATTTTGTTTATTTATAAAATTTGATACATACTGAGTGCTCAAACGGAGTCAGGGATTAAAATAACAATGACAAAAGCCTTCGCGTGACTTTACATTGCGCATACATGCATTGATATAATCAGAAGTTCCCGTCCCTTAATTCTTATTACTAATATTTTTATAATTAGACATTAAAAGTACATATTTGTAATCTATTCACTCTTATTTTACCACAGATGTGCACACATGTTCAAATCGGAAACCGTCCAACTTAGAAGTAATTTAGTCTGTCTCTTATGCTTAAAAATAAAAATCACTGAACAAGCGATAAATATTGTCTTTGTTTACACATATCAAGTACAAAACAATAGAATTATATACATCTCATGCGGAAGTCACAGGAAGTTGATTCGATACTTAAGAAACACTTGACGCTGATGACGGAGTTAAGTAGGTGTTTTTTGTCACAAGTATTGTTGATAGATCGTGCTCTTTATTCAAATTGAACGAAATTTGCAAATTAATATACAAGTTTACCGACAACTGACACAAATAAACAAATTGATATTCTCTTGGTGCATAACAACAATCAAATTGAAGATCAACTTCGACATAAAACCGATACAATACCATTTCCTGCGTATTGTGTTCCTAAATTAATACAATTTGAAAGTTGGTCATCGTTAGCTCACGACACTCTGGTGATTTGCATATCGAAAAAAATACATTGTTATGTATAAGCGTTTGGATGGAGAAACATTGGCTAGAAAAATAACGAGTTATAGAGTAAAATTGGCCAAAAGCAAAATGAATATAGAATATTGGGCAAAATGAATAAAGAACAGAGAAAATGGTCTAAAAAAATTAAAAAAAAAAAAGAAATGAATGACCACTCATCCGGACTCATATGTATAGAGTGCCTTGTAGTGATTTTGAATGACGAATGATTACACAAACATAATTCAGCTAAAATTTGCATTAGTTTTATAAGGGTAAGGTACTGGTTGGTCGATAAAAATAACTGAACTGTAATTCTTCCAAATATTTGTACTGCATGTAGATTGCCCTTGTCGGGTTTTTGATCCATGTCTTTTCATAATTTTGCAATGAAGATTTAATAATGACTGACGATATGGTTACATTGTAAAGTATAATTTAGTGATTTTTTCATTACAAAGCATCAATTTCAAAATTATATAAAAGTAAAATGTCCAAATAGGTTAGAAAATGTAACGTGAGAGTACCCTAATTGCACCTTTTGACAGTTTCTTCAACTACGTTTTTTTGGTGATCCAAACAAAAGTTTCATTCTATGTTTATTTTATAGATGTATCATTATTTAATATATAGTTCCACAAATTTAATTTTGAATCCATATTGAATCATAGAAAAACGGGTTTGAACCGACCTCCAAACGACCCATGATTCCGTAATGAAGAGTACCCAAGTTGCATCCATCCTTAAACTCACATCCGTAAAAATCGAATAACTAATATTTTGTATTACTAGTACTTCTTCAAATGATTAAAACAATTTGACAATAGTCCATGATTACTATTCTTTTTTCAGAAATGGATGCCTGTGACATATTTTAATTGTTCATTTTTTTGGACGTCTCAGTGCGACGTTTCCGTAGATTTCACTTTTTCACTGAATATTTCATCTGTTGATACATACTGTGACAGTTTGATGTATATTTAAACATATTTAGATATGTTGAAAGACGTGCATAATGTCAAATCATAAAAATACAAATTGTTAAGTCTCTCAGAAAACTTGTAAGATTTCCGCTGCTATTTTTTCTTAATGGGTGTCATAAGTCACCTTTGGCTGAGTATTTGTCTTATTTTATGACTGTACGAGGTATATATTGTATCATAAGTCTCCTTTGGCTGAGTGTATTTGTCTTATCTTATGACTGTACGGGGTATATATTGTATCTTAGGTCACCTTTGGCTGAGTATTTGTCTTATCTTATGACTGTACGAGGTATATATTGTATCATAAGTCACCTTTGGCTGATTATTTGTCTCATTTTATGACTATACGAGGTATATATTGTATCATAAGTCACCTTTGGCTGAGTATTTGTCTCATTTTATGACTGTACGAGGTATATATTGTATCATAAGTCACCTTTGGCTGAGTATTTGTCTTATCTTATGACTGTACGAGGTATATATTGTATCATAAGTCACCTTTGGCTGAGTATTTGTCTCATTTTATGACTGTACGAGGTATATATTGTATCATAAGTCACTTTTGGCTGAGTATTTGTCTTATTTCATGACTGTACGAGGTATATATTGTATCATAAGTCACCTTTGGCTGAGTATTTGTCATATTTTATGACTGTACGAGGTATATATTGTATCATAAGTCACCTTTGGCTGAGTATTTGTCATATTTTATGACTGTACGAGGTATATATTGTATCATAAGTCACCTTTGGCTGAGTATTTGTCATATTTTATGACTGTACGAGGTATATATTGTATCATAAGTCTCCTTTGGCTGAGTATTTGTCATATTTTATGACTGTACGAGGTATATATTGTATCATAAGTCACCTTTGGCTGAGTATTTGTCATATTTTATGACTGTACGAGGTATATATTGTATCATAAGTCACCTTTGGCTGAGTATTTGTCTTATTTCATGACTGTACGAGGTATATATTGTATCATAAGTCACCTTTGGCTGAGTATTTGTCTCATTTTATGACTGTACGAGGTATATATTGTATCATAAGTCACCTTTGGCTGAGTATTTGTCTCATTTTATGACTGTACGAGGTATATATTGTATCATAAGTCACTTTTGGCTGAGTATTTGTCTTATTTCATGACTGTACGAGGTATATATTGTATCATAAGTCACCTTTGGCTGAGTATTTGTCATATTTTATGACTGTACGAGGTATATATTGTATCATAAGTCACCTTTGGCTGAGTATTTGTCATATTTTATGACTGTACGAGGTATATATTGTATCATAAGTCACCTTTGGCTGAGTATTTGTCATATTTTATGACTGTACGAGGTATATATTGTATCATAAGTCTCCTTTGGCTGAGTATTTGTCATATTTTATGACTGTACGAGGTATATATTGTATCATAAGTCACCTTTGGCTGAGTATTTGTCTCATTTTATGACTGTACGAGGTATATATTGTATCATAAGTCACTTTTGGCTGAGTATTTGTCTTATTTCATGACTGTACGAGGTATATATTGTATCATAAGTCACCTTTGGCTGAGTATTTGTCATATTTTATGACTGTACGAGGTATATATTGTATCATAAGTCACCTTTGGCTGAGTATTTGTCATATTTTATGACTGTACGAGGTATATATTGTATCATAAGTCACCTTTGGCTGAGTATTTGTCATATTTTATGACTGTACGAGGTATATATTGTATCATAAGTCTCCTTTGGCTGAGTATTTGTCATATTTTATGACTGTACGAGGTATATATTGTATCATAAGTCACCTTTGGCTGAGTATTTGTCATATTTTATGACTGTACGAGGTATATATTGTATCATAAGTCACCTTTGGCTGAGTATTTGTCATATTTTATGACTGTACGAGGTATATATTGTATCATAAGTCACCTTTGGCTGAGTATTATTTGTCTTATTGTATGACTGTACGAGGTATATATTGTATCATAAGTCTCCTTTGGCTGAGTATTTGTCATATTGTATGACAGTACGAGGTATATTATGTAATTTGTACTTTATCTTTGTAGACAAATATATGACACTTTGATAAAATAAATATACAATATTAGTTCAGAAAAATATAAACTTTTTTGTATGAGGCTTAGAAACTGGGGATGGGCGAGGTTTAACCCCAGTTTTGTGCCGAATACAAAAAAGTTTATATTTTTCTGACATTGACCTAATATTGTTTTTATACTGCAACTTAAATTCATACTTTGATAGCTATTTAGATTGTAATACAAATTTAACTTATTTTCATCCATAAATGAACCTCTGATTGTGGAAAAAGTGATCCATGATGAAATTGACATTGCACAAAATATAGCTTTGTTACTATGTTTAGGAAATATCTATTATCATAAAAGTTAAAATCAAACGTTGCTTTTTTTTAATAAGCTTTCATTGCTAAATCCAAATTTGAACTCATAAAGAAAAAAAAATAGGTCGAAGAATTCAGCGCCCTCTATATACTATCTTCCTGTAAGTGTAATCAGTGAAAGTTCCTGTTGCAAGTATTCCATTGCAGGATAAGTAGTAGTATTTTTTTTTCCGTAGCCGACAATATTAACATTTTCTAAATTTGCCACTTATGGTGGTACCTAACACTACAGGGAGATAACTCTGTAAAAATCAGCTAAACGTTTTAATTACGTTCTATTGTTAAGGAAATATTAAGCTTCTCAATGATCAAAATTAGTGTTTGTCAAACTGCTATATAATCAATGAAATTTTTCTGATAAAGTGGTTGGTTCAATTTTTTTGAATTTTTTATATTTTTGTCAAAGGGTCAAAGTAAACATTTTGTCAAAATTTTATGAAAATTAAACGAGCCAAATTAATATTAGTCAAGGTGTTTGGTACCACCTTAAATATAAAAACCTGAAAAATAACAGTTATGCGCGATATTAGTTCTTTTTTTATTTTGTTTTAGGAATTGAAGTCATATGGTGGAATATGATCACCTTCCAAGAAAGCTTGTTTAAGGTATCCATAACAACCGTCATTTTTTTTTATCAAATTAAGGAAAATTTGGAAGCCTTTTCGAATAATTCTCAAGAAAATATTTCCATGTTTTTCAAAATTTATATTGTTTATATAAACACTGCTGCTTTTACTGAGTAATGAATAAATGAAAAAAAAAATATTATATCCTTACATCCAATTACAACTCTCCAAAGATGACTTCTCTTTGCTGCCATTGGCCAACCTAATGCCGGGAAAATTAAATACTGTTTTTTTTTCGTAGCAGACTAATACCAACCAATAAAGTGTGGAGTAAAAAAAACACGTGGTTTGATTTCCGTGCAACCAACATGAATTTTTGAAATAACCTTAAAAAGTTGACAAGATCAAAGTTTGAAATATCGAAACAATTAAACGTTTGTGTGAGAGCGTAAAAGTAACAAAAAAAATGTACGCAATGATAAAATGTAGCTTATTTCAAGTCAATTTTGTTATTTTTCAAAAAACAAAATATTACAACAAAAATTAATTGAGTAAAGTAAACCCTTTTGTCTAGTGTGAGGGTGTAGATGGGGGTTTACATAATAGAGAATAATAGGCAAAAACTATAACAAAATAGAGAAAATGGACCAAAAAAATAAAGA